ATAAGGTGCCAACACGTCAGCTTACCAAAAGCTATCCAATTTTGAATATAACTTCTGACCCAAATAGGAATATAAATTCTAATTCAATATGGTGTCTTAGTGAAGACACCAATCAGCTACTTTAATAAATAAAGAATTCTCCCCTAAAACAAGGTAATTAGGAGATACACAAAGTGCACATCATTGTAGGAAAAGCTAATAATTCAACTTAACTCACAATGACAATGAAAATAACTTCAGCCGTAAATTCTATTTTGAATGCATGATTATGTGATGATTTACCTGTTGTCAAGTTTCTCATATGGTCAGGTCATGCCTCGGAAGTACGTGGTTGAAAGAGTTGAGCCAAACACGTCCAGTGAAAATTCGTTACAAACTAATGTTCAACCTATGCTAAAGTCTAGGAAATGCCAATACAAAATTTCGTACTAACAATCTCCCCCTTTGGCATTTCCTGGACGAAACACTAGATTACATATCAACCACGTTTACAAGCAAACCTACACAACCTAGTTTACTTTGTCAAACAGATATTCAATTCTTGTGTCGTCTGCACACCAACAAACAGACTACCAGTGAAGCCTAATAGAATGGAAATAAGAATAACCAAAACTTGACATAGTTAACCAGCGATATTTCATATGTCAGGAGATTAAGCAGAGTACTACAAGTTCTGATCCCATAGACAAAAAAACGTTATCTCCCCATAAAGGTCATGTTTCTACTTTCCACAGTTACTCCCCCTGAGTCTCATATGTAACACAAAATATGTAACACAAAACAACAGTTACCCCCCCTAAGTCTCATATGTAACACAAAATATTCTCCCCCTTTTTGTTTAGGAAATCCAAAGTACACAGAGAGAACTTCAAAAAAGGACAAACCCAGAAGCAGAACAGATGAACCTTAGATGCTGCGAGCCCGAGGAGGACGAGGAGGACCAGTGGGCTGAATGTGCCCAGCAAGTGACAGCAACAGTTCACTATAGGTGTCAAGACGATCCCAGATGTGACGAAGAAGCGCATGCATCACTTGATGAGATGCAGAGAGCGAATCCAAAAGAGCCTGTTACTCGATGGAGAAGCCACCCGAAGTACAGTGTGCATCACTACGGTGTAAAGTGACCTGGTTGTTGACTCTGATGGTGTCGGATGAGCCAAGATCATCTGTTGGCAGTGCAGGGACACTAGCATGAGCAGCCAAGGCTGTGATAATCCGAGGAAGAACAAGACTAGATGTCGAAACAGTGGCATTGGCAGCACCAACGACAATGAGGCTTTCAGGAACATAGAACTCTACACTGACAGATTGCTCAATTACAAGCTGGAAGAGAAGATGAGCAGCCTTCCAACTTACTTTCCCATGCTGGGAAGTGGGATTCAGATAGTTTCGCACAAGCATGTACAGAGTACGAGTCCACTGAGACATCATGCCAAAGGAGAGCTCGGTGGGGAGCAGTTCAGGGGGTGACACATAGAGTTGATTCACCAGTTGACGACGAGGAAGAAAATCTGGAACCGGCTCACATGAACTGCCAGAGCGAATAGGAGGCAGACCAAGAGCAGCCGAGATAAAGTGGAAGCTGAGCGGAATCGTAATCCCCTGCACACGCACATCTAGTCCAGACAGAGCAACAGAGGCAGTGGAGACATCGTGGAAATTTGCATAAACTCACGAACGATCTGAAAATTTGGCAGGGGAAACCCACGAACCAAAGGCAAGAGGCGATGTCTCATCAGAAAATTGACAAATGAGGGGCCAAAGCTTGAGAGATTGAAGTCCTCTTCGACTAAGATGGGACGATGACAGACCACGGCTGTATATCTGTGAGAGCATGCCAGAGAAACGAAGTGAGAGACCGGTGGATGAGGAGACACACGAGGAGTAGTGCTGGAGCGCGAGCGCCGAGAGGAAGAAGGCCGTGATGGGGTTTCAGCCGGCGTGGCTCCCGAAGAGGGAGAAGCAGCAGAACGGCAGCGTACGGAGCGAGAGGGACTTTTATCAGCGGCAGCAGAAGGGGAAGCACGACGACTCCGTGTGGTGACCATGGTGATGCATCGGAGCAAGAGACAGAGAGTAGATACCTTTGAGTGATGACAATGGCGGCTGGTACGTGAAGAGAACTGAGGAAGAAGACCTAGTCTGCACAGCTTAAACATACAACATAAAACGCACCGTGTGGTTTCTGGTTTTTTTATTATTATTATTTTTTTTGAATTTGAAATTGTTTGTAAAATTATAAAAGAACAAAATGAAAATAAAAAAGAAATTGGAAACAGACAGAGGAGAAGTTTGTAAACATCGAAGCAGAACATGCAACCAAGACAAAAATGATCAAAATCAAAACACCACAACCAAGCCATAAAACTAAAAACAATCAAAATAGGAAACACACTAGCGATGCAGACCCAAAACTCCCTACAAGAGATAATTATTTTCCATTTATAAACATGTCAAGCGTGTGAGCAAGAAAAGAAAGTGGCAGCAAACCCATTGCAATATGAAACGCATGTGAAGCAAAGCATGGTAGGGACAAAAACGAAACACCACACGAGTCGCACAGACTCACAGAGGAAAAAGAGGCATACCACAGTGATGGGGAAAGATAAACAAACACCAAATGAGTCCACCATCAAGAAGTAAAGGTGTTAGGTGAACTCTGTTCAATGAAGCACAATGACTAAGGCCACCCAAGACTGATCCCACTGAAGATAGCACAGACACCGAGTGCATAGTAAGTATATGATGATCAGTTTATGTGATTTTTATTTTCCTTTATGGATTTTATGGCTCACTTTATTTAGCTTTCGACATGATCCATGTAGCGGATGGTTAATCAGTGTGCTCAAGTCAGATGACCACAAGCAACTGGGTGATGAGGCACCCCTGGGGAAATACCGATCCGAATCATGAAGGCTTCAAAGATAAGCAAGGAGAGCAACCATCATAGCCTGTTGACTCGAACCTTGACGTTGGTTAGACAAGAGGCCCGGTTACTGAGCAGTGAGTAGTCACCACCTTTTTTTTTTTTTTTTTTCATATATTAATTTTAATTCTGAAAACATATCAGGAGCTTACGCACATCAGTGGTATGACAATCCCAAGCGAGACAAGTACATGAAGGAGATAGTCAAGGCACTCCAAAGAAAAGAGTGTGCGTGTGCAATTGTACCTAGATGGATAGATCAGTTGATGAATGTTATTACGCACCAAGACAAGGAAACCTTTGTGGGAAGCTGAGAGTGTGTTTTCTCAAGATAGTGCAATGCTAGAGCCCAATCTAAGATCATCAAATACGTTCAAACAACAACAGGATTGATACAACCTAATAATCCTTGCACAAGCTAGACAAATTTATAAAAACAGACAGTAATTTAAATATTTTGCAGCAAGGAGGAGTCTTAGGCATGCAACAGGCTTCGAATTAATCTAGAGCACAGATACCTAAAGACTGTCTAAGGGTTTCAAACCGGAGATTGTCTAGAGGCTTGGTAAAGATATCAGCTAATTGTTTTTCAGTTGTGATAAATTCAAGTGAGAGCACATTCTCTTCCACTAATTCACGAATAAAATGGTGATGAATATCAATGTGTTTTGTGCGAGAGTGTTGAACTGGATTTTTAGAGATATTAATACCACTCATATTATCACAAAATGATACCATTTTACCTTGCCGTATGCCATAGTCATTGAGCATTTGTTTCATTCATAACAACTGTGTGCAGCAGCTTCCAGCAGCTATGTATTCGGCCTCAGCAGTGGAGAGAGAGACGCAATTTTGCTTCTTACTAAACCAGGAGGCAAGGTTGTTGCCTCTGTAAAAACATCCGCCAGTTGTGCTCTTCCTGTCATCAATATTGCCTGCCCAATCCGCATTAGAATAACCTGCAAGTTCAACATTTGAGTCAAATGAGTAGTATACACCAAAGTTTGTAGTGCCACTTACATAGCGGAGAATTCTCTTCATATTAAGTAGATGTGATTCTTTGGGATCGGATTGGAAACGAGCACAAAGTCCAACACTGAAGGAGATGTCTGGTCTGCTAGCAGTCAAATATAGCAAACTGCCAATCATGCTTCTGTATAATTTTTGGTCTACACTTTTGCCATGGGAGTCTTTGGAAAGTTTAGTGCTTGTGCTCATAGGATTGCGAATGGGCTTGGCAGATTCTAGACCAAATTTGGACACCAGATTGTTAGCATACTTTGTTTGAGAGATGAACATTCCACCATTGAATTGTTGAACCTGCAAACCAAGAAAAAAATTTAGTTCACCAAACATGCTCATCTCAAATTCGGTTTGCATTACCTCATGGAATTCTTTGACAAGGATGTCAGACGTAGATCCAAAGACAATATCGTCCACATATACTTGAGCAACCATTAAATCCTGTTTGGTTTTCTTGATAAAGAGGGTTTTTATCAATGCTACCACGCGTGTACCCTTTTTGGAGAAGATGAGTAGACAGTCGATCATACCATGCTCTAGGAGCTTGTTTGAGTCCATAGAGAGCCTTTTTCAGACGATATACATGATTGGGATGAATAGGATCTTGAAAACCTGCAGGTTGTTCCACATAAACTTCCTCTTGTAAGACGCCATTTAGAAACACACTCTTGACATCCATTTGATGGAGCTTAAACTGAAGATGGCATGCAATGGACAGCAATAATCGAATAGGTTCTAAACGCGCAACTGGAGCAAAAGTCTCATCAAAATCCAAACCTTCAACTTTAGTATAACCTTGGGCAACAAGTCTAGCTTTGTTGCGCATGATTTGCCCTTTCTCATCTGTCTTATTTCGAAAGATCCACTTGGTACCAATTACATTGGAGTCTTTGGGACGTGAAACAAGATACCACACGTCATTTCTCTTGAATTGGTTTAACTCATCTTGCATAGCTAATATCCAGTCATTATCTGCAAGAGCATGCGTCACACTTTTAGGTTCAACCAAGGATACATAACATAAATTAGTTACCTCGTCACAAACTTGCTATCAAGTTCTCAATTTGTCATGAACATTCCCTATAATATCAGAGGGTGAGTGATCTTTCTGAACTTGTTTAGCACCAGGTCTACGTATCACAGGATTGAAAGGCTGGTTACAATCCTCGAAATCAGTTTCAGTAATATCAGCAAATTCGTGAGTTTCCAGATCTGTATCTTCATGACTTGTTTCAACCTGCAATATAGAGGTGTCATTTACAACCACATTAGATGATTCCATTATTGTTTTAGTACGACTATTAAACGCCCTATATGCTCGACTATTCATAGAGTAACCAAGAAAAATTCCAACATCACTTCTTGCATCAAATTTTCCAAGATACTCCCTGTCTTTGTAGATGTAGCATTTGCTACCAAAAGTCCTTAAGTGCTTGACATTTGGTTTCTTCCCTTTCCAAATTTCATACGGAGTACTCTTTGTATGTGGCCTGAAAAATGCACGATTAGATGTATAGCATGCAGTACTAATGGCTTCAGCCCAAAAAAGATCTGCCAATTTGGCACTTTTTAACATGACACGAGCCATGTCGAGAAGGACTCTATTTTTCCTTTCAACTACCCCATTTTGTTGGGGAGTGATTGGAGCAGAAAATTCATGTTTTATTCCTTTTTCAGAACAAAAATTAGAGAAAGCTTGATTTTCAAATTCCGTTCCATGATCTGTCCTAAGTCTTATGATGCACGAATTAGTCTCATGTTTTTCATTCATGATTAGTTTGTACAAGACATGAAAAGAATTAAAGGCTTCTGTCTTATCTTGCAAAAATATGACCCAAGTAAAACGTGAGAAATCATCCACTAAGACAAGAATGTATTTCTTTCCTCCCAAGCTAGCAACCTGAATTGGACCAACTAAATCCATATGCATCAGTTCCAAAGTTTTAGAAGTAGAGATTGAGTTTGTAGTTTTGTGAGGGTTTTTGGTTTCCTTCCCCAGTTGGCACCCTTCACAAACACCCTCACGTCTACCTGAAAGATTAGGCAAACCTCTTACAGATTCACATTTAGACAATTTGATTAAGTCTTGATAGTTCATATGTCCCAAACGTTGATGCCATAAATCAAGATGATCCTCACTTGTCCTAAAACACACTTGAGAAACTTCATTAGTAAAAAAACAATAGCAATTGTCAAGTGATCTTTTTCCAATCATCACATTTGATCCATCTTTATTATTGACAATACATTGGGCTTTAGTAAAACTTACCTCACCTATTTCATCACAAAGTTGACTTACACTGATGAGATTTGCTTGAAGATCTTCAACTAGCAAGACGTTGTTTAGACTTGGTGTACCACTTGCCATAATTTTTCCTTTTCCTAAAATCTTGGATTTTCTTCCATCTCCAAAAGTGACCATTCAACTCACACATTCTGTAGAGATTTCAGAAAAGCATGATTTGTCACCGATCATGTGTCTCGAACACCCACTGTCAAAATACCAAGATTTAGATTTAGAGTTAGAAAGCGCAGTAAGAGCAACAAAACATTTCACATCTAAGATTTCAGGAGCATTAGTTTGATGTGTATCACTTGAAAGTGCCAGCAAGGAATTTTGTTTGTCCTTTCTCCACCACACTAGAGTTGAATTTGGTAAAGATAACGAATGGGAGAGTTTTGACAACCTACTTACCTCTTTTACAAGATATGCAATCTCGTATTGACTTCTTACCTGTCCCTCCTTGGTGGATTTTTCACTTACTGAAATTTGTTGGAGCAGTTTGCATTTTGGTCGGATATGTCCAAGAGCTCCACAAAAGTGACACGTGGGTATGAATCTCTGAGTTGTTTGAGAAGTTGGAATACCAGTAGAAAGTGATGGTTTGACAAACTTCGTGACGGATACAGCAGAAGACTTGTTGATTGAATCAAAACCTAAGCCACGTTTGTCTCCATCTCTTCGACCAATGCTAATCATTCTGTCAATTTTTTCTGCACCAATTGTCAAAGCAATAATCCTTTCCTTTGAACTTTTAAGCTCAATTTCAAGGGCTTGATTGTCAGAGGTCAAAGAATCAATTAATTTATTTTGATCAATGCATTTTTTCTGTAATATTTCCAATTTTTCGCACATACCTTCACCCATTGTTTCTGGTTCAGCAGCAGAGGATTGCAATGTCCTGGCAGTCCTGCTGTTTTCAAGTTCCAGCACAGCAACTCTTTTGACAAGCTCTCTGTTGCGTTTGTGGAGTTTCTGAGACGCAGCCAAAAGATCGTCATACTTTTCCAGCACATAATCAATGTTTGGTTCATCATTCCCATTGTTTTCTTGTGCCTTATCCAAACTGACAGTGGTGATTAATGCAATGGTATTTTCTTCACTTTCTGATTCTGAATCACTGTCACTCCAGGTTACATTCAGTGCTTTGGCTTTTCCATTTTGTTTCTTTTGTGTGTTAGCACATTCTGAGGAAATATGCCCGTATCCTTCGTATTCATAGCACTTGACTCTCTCTTTAGTGGTTTTCTTCTCAGTAAACCTGCGAGATTTAAAATTACCATCAGTATAATCACCATGCTTAATTTTTGAATTTATACCTGAGTGATTTCTTGAGTCGTGATTTGTGGAATTTTGATATTTGAAAATTTTCTTAAATTGTCGTGACAGATAAGCAAATTCCTCCCCATTGAATTCTTCAAATTGGTGTTCACCATCTTCTTTATCAACTACTTTAAGAGCAACGCTTTTATTCTTTTTAGGAGCTAAATGCTTCATCTCGTAGGTTTGAAGTGACCCTATGAGTTCACGAACTTTCAGAGTGTTCAGGTCACGAATCTCTTCAATGGCTGTGATCTTTGGTGAAAAACGTTGAGGCAAGGACCTTAAAATCTTTTTCACCACCCTATCTTCTGGAATTTTTTCACCTAAATTTGAACATGCATTCATAATAACACAAAGTTTAGCATAAAATTCAGAAAAGGTTTCATTCTCATCCATCATGATTGTCTCAAACTGTAAAGTGTGCATTTGAAGCTTGGCTCCCTTGACAGTATATGTTCCTTTATGAGTGACCTGCAAAATATCCCAAGCTTCCTTAGAAGTATCGCAACTAGAGATGTATTCAAATTGATCGGAAGAAACAGTAGTAAATATAGCATTTAACCCCTTTTGATTATTAGTGCTATGTGTGGCTTCTGCAGTGGTCCACTCCTCTCTAGTTTTGAGAACTGTGGTTTCTCTATCTCCTTTTCCAATCGTCTTTTTGGGTTCAGAAAATCCATGAACTACTGTATACCATACACGTTCATCTAAGGACCAAAGAAACGACTTCATCTTAGCCTTCCAAGCACCATAATTGTGGCCATCGAAGTATGGGGGATATGCAACAGAACCCGCGGCACGATCCATCCTAAGGTACGTTTAGATCTTGCTGAGTATGTCTAGCAACTTGCTCTAATGCCAATTGAAAATACCTATAGGATGACTAAAAATGCCTAAAGGGGGTTGAATAGGCTAATTCAATTTTATTAGCAATAAATAACAATAGACTTTCGAAGTAGGATTGATATGGGTTATCAATCCTAAGATGTGCAGAGCTTAAAGTAAAAGAACATGCAGATATTTATTTTACGTGGTAAAACCCCACCTCTGGGGAAAATCCACGAGAATCCTTAGTCTAGAACAAATCCACTATAGAATTGAAATTACAAGAGGTACTCACACAATTATCCTAGACTCAATCTAGATAAAGTTTACCGACTTCTGTGTAATTCAACTTCTGTCACGGGATGATCTTCAACACTCCTTATGTTGAACGCAATACTGGTCGCGATTGCTTCAAGCTCACCAAAGGATAGACGCCACAACGATTTTGGTGCACTCAACCATATAAGTCACCGACATGCATATGTATGCAATTATGCATGATCAAAGAATTCAATAAATCACCAAGCAACAAAAGAGCACTTGATGATTTATTGAAGAAAATAAATACAGTAGCTTTTGCACTAACAGATCCAATATGCTCTCAAAATTAAAACGTCAAAAGCCCCAGAATGAAACAATAGACACTTCTTTTTAATCAACACGAGTTTTCTCTCCAAGGAGAGAAACCTCATAGACCAAAACTTCTATTCAATTAGGACTTGCAAACTTGATCCAACCAGGTTTCTACACAAGGTGCCAACACGTCAGCTTACCAAAAGCTATCCAATTTTGAATATAACTTCTGACCCAAATAGGAATATAAATTCTAATTCAATATGGTGTCGTAGTGAAGACACCAATCAGCTACTTTAATAAATAAAGAATTCTCTCCTAAAACAAGGTAATTAGAAGATACACAAAGTGCACGTCACTATAGGAAAAGCTAATAATTCAACTTAACTCACAATGACAATGAAAATAACTTCAGCCATAAATTCTATTTTGAATGCATGATTATGTGATGATTTACCTGTTGTCAAGTTTCTCATATGGTCAGGTCATGCCTCGGAAGTACGTGGTTGAAAGAGTTGAGCCAAACACGTCCAGTGACAATTCGTTACAAACTAATGTTCAACCTATGCTAAAGTCTAGGAAATGCCAATACAAAATTTCGTCGAAATCTGTCGTGCAGGCCACTTCAGGCCCATGGCTGTCGTCACCACTTCAGGCCCTTGGCCCTCGCAGTCCTCTGAAGGTCCAAGCCCTATAATTGTCATAATCTCCTGATAATTGTGAAGATCGAAACCCTAGCCTCCTACCTTTCAAAAGGTTTGATTTGAAAGTCACCTAATCTCTCAATACCCTTCTATATCTTGCTAGTGAATTCGAGATTAGTCTCTTTGCGTTTCTGGTCTGTTTTTTGTCTCCCTAATTTCATATTATTGTCTGGTTTGTTTACATATTTTTTTATTTCTGGTTTCTTTTTAGATTTTCTGATTTGGTTCTCAGGAGATAAGGAGGAAGCTTGGGATTAACTAGTTACTAAGATTGGTGGACATATAACAACTTTACGAAACAATTGAGCATACAAGGTTGGTTTGCAAAGCTGGATTGACTGGCTTTTTCAAGTTTTTCTCAAATTTTTCTTCTTGGTCTTTATTGGTTTTGTAAATAATAAATGTCTATTGAAGAGACTTAGGAAATGGAGAGATTATCTGTTGAAATTAATTGCGCTTTGCTTTTATTTGCTTTTATCTATTTCAGATAATATCATTCACATATCATTTTATTATTTTACTATTGTGCATTTGAAATCATAAGAAAAGACCAAAAACATATCAGAGTTGGAATTTGAGGCAAGGTGATCAAAAAATGGGGCATGGTTAGTACACAAACAAAGGTGACTTTGTCATTGGATTTCTTAGTGGTCCTTTTATGTTTAGGGTGACTTTGTCAAAATTTGAAGGTTGGAGACCTTGTCCTATGCTTCCAGGTAATTCCCAAGGTTGTAGGTTGTTGTGGTATACTATAACCAACAACAGTTTGAAGTTGATAGTGTTCACGTTTTGGTGGTTTGAGTTTATATTTGTGTTGTATTTGAAACATTTATTCCTTCTTATTTTTTCCCTTTTATGCTCATATTTTTTATTTCACTTCTCTACATGGAGCACTTGGTGTTATCTTGTCAGCTACGGATACTGTTTGCACCCTTTAGGTATGTATATTTTCCTCATGGCCATGTTTATTGAAACAAAAAATCAGTGAATAACTAAAATAGTATTATTAAGTTTGTATATGATGTGGCAGGTGCTTAAACAAACTGTTCTTTAAACCACTATGTCTTAAGCTTCATTTGTAAAAATTGATGTTAATTTTACAAGCCAAGAAGAGACATGCTATTGCCGACACTACTACAGGGGAGGGGAATACAACATGGAAAATGTGCAAGAAGACAGAGCTAACTCACACACTCAAGAACAAATTGATGTTCATATTGAATTGGTAGAATTTGTGAGCAATCATCTGTAGCTTCATTATTTACGTTAATGTTATCGATGTGGTAGGAAGTATGTATGTGGTAGGAATAAAGATTGGGTAACTATGTAATAACTATTGAAACTTCAAGTTTTATGAAAGAAACAATTTTTGAGTGTATATATTCATTAATAAAGCATTATGGTTAGTTTTCTAGTAAAGATAGTTGTATAGAATCATAAGAAACAAAAAAACTAAAATATAACAACCTAGGAATTTATTAGACGACTGAACTAAAATGTAATCAACGATGGTTTTATTGTAAAAACCGTCGTCTTTACATAAATTTTTTAACAAAAAATCGTCATCTTTCTATACAATGAAAGACCGTTTTAAATAAAAACCGTCCTATTTTCCATACAATTGACGACGGTTTTAACAAAATCGTCGTCCTTACCTCTAAACAACGACGATTTTTTGTCACAAACCGTCGTCTATATAACAAAACAACGACAGTTCTTTCAAAAAAAACCGTCGTCTTTATATCTAATAGACGACAGCCTTCCAAAAAAAGACGTCTTTACATATAATAGATGACAGTTCTTTCAAAAAAACCGTTGTCTCTACTTATAATAGACGACAGTTCTTTAAAAAAAACCGTCGTCTTTACATATAATAGACGGCGGTTTTGAGTAAAAGCGTCGTCTTTAAAAATAATAGACGACGGGGATTTACCGTCGTGGTTTTATGCATAAAAAAATGTTGGTCGATTTCACGACGGTTGAAAAATCGGATACATGACGGTGGATTATCGTTGTCTATTGCGATTTTTGTAGTAGTGATGTCTCAGAAAAACTTCTGAAGGCAAAACTTTGTGAATGGATCTGTAATCATTTCTTCAATTCTGATATAATAAAAACTTGACTAGTTTTTCTGCTACCTTCTCCCTCCCTATTAAATATTTTCTATCAATATGCTAAAGTCCAGATGACATCTTGTTGTTCATGCAGGGAAAAATAGCCGCAGTGTTGTCATTATATATCTGTATTGGTCTAGAAATCGATTCCACCACCTTAATGTCTTTAATAAAATTCCTTAGCCATACTGCATGAGAAGTGGCTTCATAGCAAGCTATGTATTCTGAAAACATGTCGAAACACCAGATTGTTTAGCACTCTTCCAAGCAATAGTTGCTCCTGCCATCTTGAAAAGAAAACTTGAAGTAGAGATGTAATCATCCTCTGCTTTTCCAAGATTCGCATGAGCATAACCAACAAGCTCTAAATTCTCTGTGCATCTATAAATCAACATATAAGCCTTTGTTCTCTGTAGGTACCTTAGAATCTTCTTTCCAGCTATCCAATGTTGCATTCCTGAATTTGACTGAAATCTCCCCATCTTGCTAATGCACAAGGCTAGGTTTGGCCTTGTACACACTTGTGCGTACATAATGCTTCCAACTAGAGAAGCATACGACTTGTTCCTCATCTCATCTTCTTCTTCTTTATTCTTGGGGCAATGCTCATTCTTTAAATCTCCTTTAGCTAACGGAACTTTCTGTCCAAAACACATACTCATGTCAAAACGCTTGAGTATCCTTTCAATGTATGTTTTCTGTGACAAGCCTAGGAGGCCTCGAGCTTAGTCTCTCTGAATTTTAATGCCTAACACAAAAGCAGCTTCTCCCAAATCCTTCATCTCAAAATTGTTTGAAAGTATCTCTTTAGTGTCCTTCAGTAAATTGTGGTCATTTGTAGCCAAAAGTATATCGTCGACATACAACACCAGAAAAATAAATCGGCTCCCACACTTCTTTAGATAAATGCACTGATCGTCTATGTTCTCTTCAAAACCATAACATGAAACAGTTTGATGGCATTTGAAATACCACCTCTTGCTTGCTTGCTTTAGTCCATAAATTGCCTTGTCAAGTTTGCAAACCATATGCTGTTTTCCCTCCTTTGCAAACTCTTCAGGTTGCCTCATAAAATTTTCTTCTTCAAGTTCTCCATTCAGGAAAGCAGTTTTTACATCCATTTGATGTAAAAGTAGGTCATAATACGCCACCAAAACCATAATGATGCGGAAAGAATCTTTGGTGGAAACTGGAGAAAACGTCCAAGTGTAGTCAATTCCCCCCTTTGGGTGAATCCATTGGCTACCACTCTAGCCTTAAATATTTCGATTCTTCCATCCTTATCCTTCTTTGTTTTAAATACCCATTTTGGGCCTATCAGTTTCTAGCTCATTTGAGGTTCAACTAATTCCCATACTTGATTATTCATCATACTTTCGAGTTCATTCAACAATGCTTCCCTCCATTTGTCTACATTTTCACTCTCCATAGCTTCTTTAAAACTTGTTGGACCTTCTCTCCAATGTCAAAATCTGCTTCTTGTAAGTATACGTAATCTGAATTTGCTGTGGATCTTCTTGGTCTGTCAGATCTCCTTAGTTGCATTGATTCTTGTGGATTATCTAGCTCAGAATTCTCCACAGCTTGTTCT